GTCTGTTGAAAAATGGCTCCTTTCATGATTCAAAAGTAGTACGATCACGAATTGTACACATTCGTCAAAGTGTAGGATCGTGCATTACAAAATAAAAGGAAAAAATGTTTTCCACCGCTGCATTATCGTTCATTCTTCACTTTCATGATTGGACTATTTTGGCGCCCTTCTTTTCATGAACTTGGTGTGCGATGCTGATCTGTTTGCTGATGTGCAGATCTGATCTCCGTCTCAGTGCCGTCAGCCAGCCTTATTTTATAGGCAGAGTCTACAGCCGTGTGGCAAGAGTAGCTTGTAGTCTCTTGTTTTTTTCTCACTGACTGATACCAACCTAAGACGGAAGACATGTGAGTGTGGTGTCACCATCCAGAGCTTGAACTGGGGAAGTTTTTTGGTTTGAGTTCGACGCTTTGCCGACTTAACAACTTAAAGCAAAATGTGGTAAATTCCTTGCTCATGAATAATGCAGATATTACCCTTGAGCAGGATCGAACACGGTACCTCTGGAATTCGAAGCGTACCTCGTAGAGAACTCTGCCAACGTGGCACATTGCGAAATGGCATATGAAAATTTGCAACGCACAAAATATCCTTAATATCAGTAAGATTTCGCCATAAACATCCTTGTCGATAAGCAGCGGTAGTACCATCTTGAAAATGAGTGAATATTTCTTTAAGTTCTTCTGGGTGCCAGATCCTACATTTAGATCTACATCGACTTGCCTTTGTCTTCACGAACGGTGGTGAACTAAACTGATCGCCTCCAAAGAAATGAGATAAAACACTTTGTCCGCGAGTCTCAGCTTGCAGCTGCCTTCACCTCCTTCACGACTGATAAGGTCACTTCTACATAGTATCTGGAAGAGGTCAGTAGTGAAGGTGGGCTTACATCAAGTACTATAGACTTCTGAAACAATTTTTTTGGTTTTCCGACAGGTACGTTTGATTTTTGTTTTATTTGCTGTAGATATTGTACATGTTTCTTTTATTTAGATGTATGTGCTGTATAATTTAAGTCAATGTTTGTCGGCTTGCCTGTACGTTTCGTTGTGCGACACTGAAAGTGTAAATCTTCCGACAGATCTCATGAGGTTAGAAATAGGAGGTACATCCATTTGTGCATGTTTTTCTTTTTGCTTTTCGTTCAGTGATTCCGACTCTCTGCTCCCACCCTCTGAACGAAATCCTTCGCCTGATCCACAGGAGCCTCAAGTGACGTCGTTGCCAGAAAAGTGGCCAGGTAAGTGAAAGCGGTCCCAAAAAATGGTGGACGTTTTGGTTGTTGTTTGTCTTGTCTATGCCAGCCATTTTGTTCTGCAGGTGTTGGAAACCTGGTGACGCTTTTGTCGGTCAGCCAAAATGAGGACATGCCAAATCTGTTGATGATGCTGGTCGAAGGCTGGGGGGCTATTTACCTGTCACTGTTCGCGTATGCGTTCACGTCATATGATTCGCGATGGTTGTACCGGCTCATGGCGCATCCGGTGAACGACGAAATGTTTTCAGCCGTCTTCGGAGGTGGCGCTGAGAAAAAGACGCTCCTCGAATACGCTACCATGGCGATGACCTTACCTGAGGGTTGTGATTCTGTGGGTAAAATATTTAGCAGGTATATTTTTCTTTTGCTGTGACCTTTCGATCTTAGCTACATCCAGATCAGTGGGCAACAGCGGCCACTATCACGGCAACGTTTCGTTGGAGAACAGCGATCCGGCGAAACTCAGGGCAAAGTTTCATGCCAAGGTTTTCGGCCTTCAGCCGGACACCCTCTTATCTAGCCCCTCTGGCGGAAGCGCTGACGCGCCGCACCGTAGTCGTTTGGTGTCCACTCGCACCGAATGGTTATCACCAAAAAAGAGCGTCATGGCTTATTACATGACAAAGGTTTGTTTACGGTTGTATGGTCATTAATAAGTGAGAAATTGCTTCATTGTTTGTTACCGTACTTTCACGGTCAAAACAGCTCAGTCGTTGCAGCGCAGAATTGACAGACGAGAAATTCGACACGCGCTATGTGCGATATATTTTGCTATATTTTGCACTTTATTGCGACGCGTTTTGCTACATGGACTGTAGCATCATCAAGTCATGGTTATGCGCCTGTTTACCATATGTTGTATTTGGTTTCCTGAACCATGAATCGTTCAAACATCTTTCTGTATAACTATGGGCCCAGAATCAAAATCCTAAAAGTTGTATTCATATTTGTCATTGCTTAGACATTTAAACAAGAGAAAGAATCGCAACATATGCGTTCTTCAAGAATTCATATGGTTATTACCCATAGACAGACCGAAACCTAATTGCTCGATTATGTGTAACACCTGACATTGTGATGCTTTTGTATCTGGACCAGGAGCTTACTTGATTGGTGTAGACTTTGGAAAGACGTTTTCAGCCAGCTACCTAAGCTACCCGAACAAAAATATCAGATTAAAAATGTGAATGAAGAGACCAACATTTTCAATGTATTCCT